TGGGCTTTGTGTTTAATGGGAAGCTGTGGTCAGAGGTCTTGGTCGGTCCTTGACGGGGTCTGGGCATCCTCACCCGCCGCCTGGTCACCCCTGCACCCGTCCCGGTAACCACTGCGTCAGAGAAAACTTGCGTGGGTTTTGCTGTGCCTACGGGTCGCCTGTTGCTGTCAGACCGGCAGTGTCCTGCTCAGCGGCCTGTCCCATGAGGTGCTGGTGTACGCACTGTCCTGGTAAAAATGCCGATGTGTTTACCCAGCTCGGGGATTGCGCCGGGCCCATCCTAGGAGGTCACGTCCAGAAGGAGGGTTCCGGAGGGTCTGCGTTGGGAACCCCTGCCCCTGTGTGGCTGAGCCCTGTTGTGGGGAAGTTCTGCGTCCCTGGCTGTCTAAACGGAACCCGATTCTGGTGACTGGCCCCTGACCCCATGCTCAGCCATCTGAACCGCCTTTTTCCTCCCGTCCACAACAGCCGGAACTGCTGACGAAATGTACCGCAGGCATTCCTGACCCGTGACTGAACAGATCAGAGCGTGCGGTTTCTCCGGGTGCCCAGGCCACCCTCGTGAACGTGCCGTCCGTCCTTCCTGGGACACTGAGGTGGGGCTCGCTCGTCCCCTCGCTGCCGCCCTCCTGGTTAGGGGCTGCGTCGGGGTCAGCCCACCCCTGCTTTACTTACTAGGCTCGTCGTGGGCCGCAGTAGAGGGTGCACTGAAGGGGCCTGGAGGCGAGAGCACCAAGACTTCATTCCAGAAACTTCGCTCTTCCGCACACTAGTCGGGGGGCCTGGGCTAGCCATCAGGGCCCACTCAGAGGTCGTGTGCGTGGGCCTGGTTCCGGGCAGGCGCTGTTTACTGATGACGGTTTTTTCTGATTCACCGTGGAAATGAGACATTGTCGTGCATGCGTGTGTTTCCTTAGGGGGATCTCTCACAGCGACAGTGCTGGCTCCTCAGGGAGGAGGCGCAGCTCAGTCCCCCCAGCCTGCCGGCAGCCGCGGCGGCTCCCACAGCCTTGCTCTCGCCGCTTCTGTTTTTGTCTTTGCTGATTAGACGACGGAAACAGTGCCTCAGTGTTTTAGTTTGCACTTTTCTTCGATCCTGCGAGGCCGAAGGCTCGCTGTGCGCGTGTGTCAGCTGTAGGTGCGCCTACTCCGCGCCCCCCTGGGGTTCTCACTTCCCAGAACCCCTTGAGGACGTTGCCGTGTACATCACGGGAGTCTTTCAGGTTTGTGGTTTGCCTTCTACATTGTCTTGTTGGGTTTTGCTGACGGTTTTAAGTTTTGTCATCAAATCTGTTCTCTTAAAATGGTTTCCTGCTTTGGTGTTAATGCGGTGTTTTCTTCTGGTTCCCTTGTGGTTTCAGTTTTTGACATTTAGCTCTGTAATCCACCTAGAAGTTACTTTGCTGTGCAGTATGAGGTAAGAATCCAATTCAGTCCTTTCGAAATGGCTAACCGAGTTTCCCAGGGCCGCATACTGAATCATTCTTCTTTCTCTATCAGTTCGAAATGCCACTACTTAATTATGGACTAAATACTTTAATAGAATTATGAAGTTCTATCTCTGAGCTTTGTAGTCTGTTCTACTGATCTGTCTTTCCTTGGGCCTACCCAATGTTTTAATGATTGTAGTTTTATAATAAAAGTATTTGGATTTTTTCTTTTGGAATTGCATTACAGCTATACATGTATTACAATACTGAGACTTCCCATTTATAAACTGGCCTCCCTGTTCATTCGGGATGGGATGGTTTTCACCGGGAAATTTAGACTCCGGATTTCTGGACTTCTCCAAGACAAGTTATCCACGCTGGTGATGGTTGTTCTCAGAACTGTTACTCTGCCTTATGGTCGGATGTGTTCTTCCGTCAGAATTTCAGGTGATGGTAGTGCACAGCAAGGTGTGCGGTAAATGGTGTTGAACTTCCTCACTAGGGCCAGCAGGAGGCAGTGTCACCACCTCTTGGCTAAAAGTGCGAGCTTTCAGGTCCGGTCACCCTGCGCCCATACTGGACCCGTCTCTTACTGTGACCAGCTCTTTGCCTCAGTGTCCCATCTGTACAAAAGTATAATCGTATTATTTACCAAGAAGTGGGATGCGGGTTAAAGTGAGCATTGTGCTTATTTAGCGCACTCCTGACGTGGAGTGAGCATCGTGGTCTTGGTCCCACCTGCCCCGCTACTGGGATCTGTCGACAGATGGAGGCGGAGGGGCGGGCAGGGCCCTGGGAGGCGCATGGCAGCCCCCAGCAGCCTGCGTTATTAACTCGCTGAAGGGGGTGGTTGTCTTTTCAAGATGTGTTTGAAAAATCTCCGTTTTTTCCATGTATGGTGGTAATATAAAGTTACCTTTTAAAATAAATTTACTTTTCCTATTCTAAAACTGAGATATTCACGTACCAAAAACCCCTGCCTGTGAGGTGTGGGTTTCGGTGGGTTTGGGTATTTCGTTACGTTGTGCGGCCGTGGCCAGCACTCATTCCCGGGACTTCGTCATCCTCCCAGACCGAGCTCCCCACCTGCCCTCCCCCGGCCCCTGGCGACCTTCGTCATGCTTTGCCTCCGTGAAGTTGCCTGTTCCCCGTGTCTCGTGTAGTGAGATCACACGTCTGCCCTGCTGTGCCCATCTCACCGCCCTCGGCATCGCGTTCGCAAGGCCCCTCCGAGTCGGCGCACGCCACGGTCGGCTTATCCGTGCAGGAGTGGGACATCCGGCTGCTTTGCGCTTCTCTAGCTGTTATAAATAATGCTTCTGTGAACACTTGGGGGCAGATTTTTGTGTGAATGTAAGTTTTAAATTGTCTCTGGTGAACATGGGGAGGGGAATTGCTGGGCTGGCCGTACAATAACTCCGCATTTCCGAGGAACCGCTCTCCTTCCCAGGGCCGCTGCGCCGCCTTACCTGCCCGCCGGTGACTTGTACGGGTTCCGGCTTCCCGGGTCTCGCCAGCCTCGTGCTTACCTGACTTCTGGTGGCGGCCACCGTAACAGGCACGAGAACAGTGAATAACAGAAACGAAAGCACAGGTGATGGGCATGAGAAGTGGTGTTGCACGTGATCCTGGTTTCGTTTCTCCGATGGCGATGCTGTCAGGCACCTTTTCATGCGATCGCCGTCCGGGCGTGTGTGCTCAGAAGAGGGTCTGTGCCGACCCCCTGACCGCTTTCAGACTGGGGTCCATCTCCTCAGTGCCGAGCGTGAGAGCCCCCCACGCGCTCCGGATACGAGATGCTCAGCAGGTTTATGATTTGCAGGTGTGTCCTCCACTTCGGTAGTTTGTGATTCCACTTTCTTGACAGGGTAAGTTAATATTTTAAAAGTGAATTGATTTAAGGGGGTGGGGGAAGGACCGCTGTACCCAGATGTGGCAAAAAAAAAGAGAAAAGTCTCGGTGTCATGTGATGATTAAAGTCTGGGAGGTGCCGTTGATGAGACCGCGAGTGTCTGGAGCCCGAGGAAGCAGCGACCCTTAAATATGGGGTAGATGAGCGTGCCGCGCGGTGTGCCCCCCCACCCCCTCCAGTGCTGTCGGCCACACCGCCTGTCACTGTGCTGGGTCGGGGTGGCTCGGACGTGTGCGGTCTTCTCCTCGGTAACAGGTGTTGGATTTATTTATTCGTTTATTTTTTTCAGAGTTCATGTCAGACGGGTAACATGCCGATGTCGTAACAAGGTTTGGGGGGCACGTGTCGCAAGAGCGTGAACACAACCACCATCACACGCGTGAGCTACACAAGGGCCCCGTGTTGGATTATTAAAATGCCTTTTCTGCCTCTTTGGAGATGAGCCTCAGGTTTTTCTCCTTTCACCTTCTAATGGTTAACTGTAATAATGGAATATTAACTGTCATTAATATCCACGGAATAGTATGCTCTCTTGTGATTTCTGGAACAAACCACCCCCTGGCCTGGAGCCACGTTTTGCTGGCACAGAGAGGAGTCAGAAGGTCCGAGCTGACTGCAGGGCCGTGTCAGGCAGGCTCGGTGACAGAGTATCGGGAAAGGGTGGCTCCGAGCACGGCTCTGACAGGCTGGTCTCTGTTCCCTGCTTTGTCACCGAACAGCATGTGACTTTGGCCAAATTTCTTAAATTCTTGAAGCCAGCTTCCTCGGTGATACAATGGGAGCAGAAATAGTGTTAGAACCTACCCCTTGGTCTGTGCGGATCTGAGGCGTGGTCACGTGGCTGTGGGCGCTGTGAGAGAGTGAGGGGCGCAGCTGCCCCGTCGCTGTGGGGACGGGGGCACCGAACCAGAGGCACAGATGGACAGCACTGCGGGGGGTGGGGGCACCGGCATTTCTTTGTGGAGGGTCCGTGGTTCTTAGAAAACTTTGTTAGTTTCTTCCTCAGTTACTATGCCAGTCAGTGTTTCTCCAGTTCCTTGTGGTTATCTTTTAATGTTCTCTTTATGAGGAGTTTCCTCCCTTCGTTCTTATTCCCAGTTTTTCTTTTCCTTTTTTTAAAGGATTTTATTTATTTATTTTTAGAGAGAGGAGAAAGGAAAGAAAGAGAGGGAGAGAAACATCAATGTGTGGTTGCCTCTCACATGTCCCCTGCTGGGGACCTGGCCTGCAACCCAGGCATGTGCCCTGACTGGGAATTGAACCGGTGACCTTTTGGTTTGTAAGCCCACGCTCAATCCACTGAGCCACACGAGCCAAGGCTAGTTTTTCTTTCTCTTGAATAGACATTCAAGAAATTTGTTTTATTGGCCTTTTCAAGAAACAGCTTTAGATAAAATAAGTGCTTCTGCTTTCATTTTGTAATTTATTAATTTCTATGTTTATATCATTCTTCTGCTTTCCTTGGATTTTGTTTCGTTGCTTTTTTTTCCTAGTCTCACTTCATTTAGGTTCAAACTCACATACTTTTAACAGTGAAACAGGAGGGTGCAGCATGGTGAGGGGGGCTGTGGCGTGAGGCCCCCCCACCTGTGACTGTGGACAGGGCCCTCAGCTGCCCAGGTGTGGAGCCTCGCCGCGGGAGGCCACCGAGAGGGTGAGCAGGTTCACCGAGTTCACCCTCGGGTTCACCCTCACCGAGAGGGTGAGCGGGGCAGCGACGGGGCAGCTGCGTCGGCCAGGGCCTAGCATTGGGCCACGGGAGACAGAGCTGCCGCCAGCACCTCATCCACAGCTCCGCTTCCTACCGGTCCCTCCAACAGCTCCCTCCGTGGCCAGACACTGCGCTGGCCCCCAGGGACACAGGCAAACAGGATGACTGGCCCTGCCTTCACGGTTCCCCCGTTCTTGGGGGGGACAGGCCTCTGATGGGAATGGCACCAACGCATCAGCGCAGTGACGGTGACGGTAACAGCCACAAAAGAGTGAATTGAAGCGCAGCCTGAGAGTGAGGCAGCCAGCCTTTCGTGCAGAGGGGAGGGCCTTTGGTCTCCCGCTCGGGCGGGGCGTCTGTCGGGAAGAGCATCTCCCGCTGAGAAGGGGACTGGCTGGACCCAGGAGGCGTGTGAGTTGGGGCCGTTTTTTACTACTGTAATCAATTTCTAATTTAGTGAGTGGTTGCTTACCTGAGCGAGCGACCTGCACAATTTCTGCTTTTTGAATGTGTGGCCCCCTTTCTTCATTGCTTCAGGTGTGAGATTGTTATTGCTGTCCCACGGCGGTTGCAGAAGTCTTGTTGGTCGTGTTCCACCCTCTGGGCGGTGTTTGGTTCCGTCCAGATCCACCGTATCCTGGACGATGAGAGGCGGGGCCACATGCTGCCACCTCTTCTGGTTCTCTCCACTCCACGAGGCAGCTTACAGTTCTGTGCCACGTGCTCCACTGCAGCGTCTCTGCAGCCGGGGGACTCCCGGCAGCTCACGCCGGTGTCCCCTGCGGAGGGCTTTCTGCTGGAGTTCGCTGTCCAGGCGCCCACAGGCCGGCCTGCACCTGCGCCCCACCCCCGCCTGGCCGGCGTCCTGTTTGCGTTTGACTGCAGTACCTGTGCGGGGCGGGAGGTATTGTAAACTGTTGAGGTTTGAAGCTATTTTCCATCTCTCCCCTGCTTTCTGCTGAAACAGGCTTTAGTTTTCCCGGTTACGACTGGGAGTTACTGGCCTTGCCCACTGCAGGCCGTGTTGCGGGCACAGCTCCCCAGGCTGAAACAAGCCCTCCGTTCTGGGTTCTGGGCGAGGGCCCCGGGCGTTCCGGTGGGCGAGGCTGCCAGGGCCGCCCGGGAGCCGCTCCGGGGCTGGTTCCGCTGTCTGTGATTATGGGCCACCACACTGTCACAAACTGCTTTGATCGAATCCCCCTTTATACCTCAAGGCTACTTCTGATTTGCGTTTCCAGCTGGCTGAAAGGGAGGGGCAGTTGCTCTGGTCTGCTCACCGCCTCCCACTGTGCGGGTGGTGCTGAGGGGGTTAGGTACGCTGCCCTTTTCCCCACCGCCCTGCGAGTCCAGCCTGTCATGGTTTCTGCTCACGGAGCGAGAGCAGAGCGGCCCCTTGAAGCCGTCCTGTTCAGTGACGCTCGCCCTTTTAGCCGGTGGCACGCGTCCCTCCGTAGCCCACTCTCTGGGTCCCGCAGCACGAGCCCCGAGTTCTGGTCACTAACGTGTCCCATTAACTCTTTGCTCATCTTACAGAGTGTGTTTTGACTACCACAGTTCTGAGGCCTTTGTAAGGCCGGAGCTGGGTTACTCACCGTCAGGTTGGGACTTAGATGACTTCCATGTTCCTCTCTCCTGCTGCAATCAGTAAGTGCCTCCTTCATGGTGTGTGTGTGGGGGGGGTGGTGCTGAAGGGAGGCCGCGAGGGGCAGTGGGCCAGGAGGAGGGGCAGGGATGGGAGGGAGCCGGGGGAGGGGTTTGGCGGCCGGCCTGCGGGTCTGGGTCTGCACCCACCTGCAGCTACAGACCGAGTGTGCGTGAGTGACCGAATGCGTGCGAAGGGGGCCGACTCTGCTCACACCCCTCCCTGGGAGGAGTGGAAAGGGCTCGGTTCGCAGCTCTGTGAGACCCTGAGCAGATTCATCGCCCTCTGAGCCTCAGCTCCTCACCTGGACCTTGTGCTGGGCAGGGCCTTCTGAACTCCTCAGGACCGAGTGAGGGGCCGAGGGGCCTCCCGCACGAGACGAGGGGATGGGACTCCTGGCCGAGGACTGCAGGGCTGTGGGGGGTGTTCCCGCCAGACCCGCCGGGGGCCCGGGGAGGCGGAGCCTGGGCGGGGAGCAGTGGGTGCTGTGGGCAGTGGGCTGGAAGGGTGGCCTGGGGCCGGTACTGGCCGAGGGTCTAGGGTGGGCTTCATGGACCTCGGGCCCTGGGGACTTAGACCCGTCCTCCCCGCACTCAGACTCGGCCGAGAGCCCAGTGAGAGGAGAGGGGCCGGGCGGTGGGGGGGGCACTGTGCTCCCGTCTCCACGTTCAAGTGAAGGCAGTTCCCAGCGAGGATCCCACCGCTGACGACGGTCGAGAGCTCGGAGGACTGCGGGCCAGGCAGCTGGGGGCGTCGTGGGAGCCCACGTGGCGCGGGGCAGCGCAGACCTGGGGGACCATGGGCATTGGAGCTAGGCCAGGGTGCTCAGACTTGCCTCCAGTTCTCAGACTTCCTGTTCTGATGAAAAACTTAACATTTTTGCCTTTAAATATAAAAGTACTCTACATAGAGTTGAAAATTCAAGCCATGGAAAAGGTACAAGGTGAAAGTAAAATCCCTTCCCTCATCCATCCTAGCCTTGCTACACAGAGGTGGCCTCTCCCGTTCCTTTGAGTCTCTATGGGAATTTCTGTGCACGTACAAAACTTGGCACTGTCGTAGCGCAGGCAGGACCGTAACTGGTGGTTCAGTTTGCGCATCCGACCTCACGAGCCCCTGCGATCGCGACGTGCACCCAGCACAAGGGGCACTGCGTGAGGCTGAGGGGACGCGTGTCCCCCGGCCGCACCTTCAACAGGGCGTCAGGGTAGGAGGATGCGAGCCTGGGAGGGGGGAGGCGCGGAGCCGCCGCAGGTGTTTCTTTTACTGGACGCGGCTCATGGCCGCGTTCAGGTTTTGCTTTTCACCTTTGAATCTGTGAGAAGATAAGATGAGCAGGAAAAAGCAAAAGGCACTGGTGGTGGCACACCCAGCACTGCTGGGTCAGGGTTCGAGCCCCTGCGGTGTCCCTGCTTCCTTCCAGCTCCCACTCCGGGTTCTTCCTCCCCACCCCACCAGAGACACCATTGTCCCCAAGGACAGAGGTGTTGGGGTGCCGTGCCCATGGCCTCGCTCCCAGGAGCCCTCCTGTTCCACTCCCTTCTCCCCTCACCCTGGGGGGCCCCTGAGCCAGGGTGAGTGGCAGGGACTTGCAGCCCTCACAGGGCTCTGGTGGCTGCAGCTCCCCTCCCCCAGGGTCACAGGCAGCCGAGGAAGCAGCCCCATCTTTCCAGCCCCGTGGGAAGGGGAGGGGACAGCTGGGAGCTTCGAACACCAAGGCTGAGGGCCCACCTAGGGTGGCTGTACCCATCGAGGTGTCCTCTTCCACCCAGGGCTCTGGGACTCAACCTGCCACCACCCTCGTCTCTGCCTCCAGGACCAGGCTGGGCGGACGAGGTCAAGAGGGAGGAGGCCTGGCTGGAGGCAGGCAGCGTGCGCAGCGACCCTGGGTGTGGGACAGAAACAGTGGGGCCCACAAGGGGCCGTGGTGCAGGAGGAGCGAATGCCTGGGGGCAAGAAGGCCCAGGGTGGGCCCTGCGGGGTCTGAACCTCCGCTCTCCAGGCATCTGGGGCCTGGAGGGGGGTCCCAGGAGATCCCCAGCTTGGCGCTGACAGAAGTGGTGTGCGGTGAGCTTCAGCGGGTCCCCACCCAGGCCCTCGGTGCTTCCACCTCCCCGTCTCCCTTTAACGACTCATGTTTTACCCTGGCTGGTGTGGCTCAGTGCACTGAGCACCTGCCTACAAACCAAAGCGTCACCAGTTCGATTCCCCATCAGAGCACATGCCTGGGTTGAGGGCCAGGTCCCCAGTTGGGGGCATGGGAGAGGCAACCACACCTTGATATTTCTCTCCCTCCCTTCCCCTCTCTCTAAAAATAAATAAAATATTTTCTGGTATTTTTTTAAAGATTTTATTTCGTTTTAGAGAGAAGGGAGAGAAGGAGAGGAGAGAGGGAGGGAGAGAAACATGGATCGGCTGCTCCTGCACAGGCCCCAACCCGGAACTGGGAGACCCTTACATTCAAAACTGTACGAGCTTCCTCTCTCTAGAAATAAATAAATAAAATCTTAAAGCAAACAAACAAACAAACAAACCATGTTTCAGAAGGAGCACTGGGAGCAGGAGGAGAGGGGCGGGAAGGCAGCCTGGGAGGCAGGGCCTTCTGCCCCAGTTGGGCCCCGGGCTCCGCGATACCGCAGAGCCAGGGCAGAGCGCCGCGCCCTGGCAGGTTTTGTTGGGTCGCACGGTGCTCTGGGGGAGCTGGGCTCCTGGGGGTGGGGGACACCAAACCTGGGCAAGCCTGAGGGAGACGCAGCCTGCAGAGTAGAGGGGGGAGACCAGGGGACGGAGGAGGAGGGAGGCCCCGAATGAGGAGCCCTGGCTTGGGCCCCCCCCACCCCGAGCAAGAGCGGTGGCCGGTGTATCACCGTCTGCAGTCCTTCAGCCCCTTGCCAGTTTTGGTGACAAAACGTCGTCCACCGGAGCCGGTGTTTCTGGTTGGGGGCAGCGAAAGGAGCAGCAGCGGGGATCTGCGGTCGTAGTCTCGGCAGGTAACCCGTGTCTGGGTGGTGAGGCCACGGTGTCCACCAAGGCGCCCATCTACCTGAAGGCCGCAGCCACGTGGGCAAGCGGGTGCTGTGGGACCGTTGTCCTCAGACAGGATCCGCTGGCTTCTGGGGGCCGCCGGGCTTGCGCTCAGGCAGGGCCCCCGGAAGAAACGGCAGGAGCCACCGTGCGATGAGAAGGACACGGACCTGCTCCGGGTCGGACCTGCCCGGTGCGAGACTCGGCTTCCCCGTTTCTTTTTGCCCCTGTTGAGGAGAGGGAGAGGCGGGGAGAGGGAGACAGAGATTTGTTCTTCCGCTTACTTACGCATTCATTGGTTGATTCTCGTTTGTGATCGGACCAGGGCATCGAACCTGCAACCTTGGCATTTCAGGAGATGCTCTCACCCACTGAGCGACCCCGCCAGGGCAGTTTCCCCGTTTCCAGCATGGAGTTGGCGATACCTGCCTTGCTGAGTTGTTGAGAAAAGTGGGAATAACGTTTATTAATGACCACATGCAGGTGTTCAACAGGGGTCTCGGTCTGTGACATTAAGGACCTCGGGGCTCGGGAAGTCGGGACTGGGAAGGCGGAAAAGCAGCGGAAGCTGGAGCAGCTGTGCTAACTGGCTGAAGCTGAGGCAACGGGCGCTGCCATAGGGTTTCAAGCAGGAGAAACACGTGGTCAGACCCAGGCTTTCGAAGGGGAAGAGAGACGAGGACCAAAGCCGTGGCAGGATGCGCAGGACTGGGCGAGGCAGGGGCAGTGGGGCGGGAAAGGAGGGGCGAGTGTAAGGGGGGGCGTGGTGTCCGGAGCCCGTGGCCCTTCCCTGCATTCCCAGCCAGTTCTTTCCTGTCCTTTGGACCCTTCAAGTCCCAGACCCCACCTCACTCCCAGCCTTGCCTGCCTCCAGGTAGAAAATCGCACTAGAGGCGGAGACAGAATTAGACCTGGAGACATTTTGCTGAGATAGACAGCTTCCCCACCCCCCTAAATATAAAAAAACATTGTGGAGGTCTGTAGGTCTATACACACGGGCATACATGAGCTTAAACTTGCCATTCTAACCACTTAAGTGTATAATTCATGCCATTAACTACAGGCAAAATGTACAGTCATCACCACTACCTGCTTCCAAAACCCTGTCATCACCCCAGATGGAAACTGTGCCCACTAAGCAGTTACTCCCATGCCCCCTCCCTCCCCGCCTCTGGCAACTTCCAGTCCACCGTCTGCATGACTTTGCCAATTCTAGATCGTTCACATGAGCGGAGTCTGCAGTAACTGTCCCCTTCCATCTGGCTCCTCTCACTTCGAGTCCTGTTTTCGGTGGTCATCCACATTGTAGTGGGCGTCATGGCTTCGTGCCTTTTTGTGACTAATATTCCATCATATGGACAGACCGCCGTTTCTTCTTGTTCTTTTTTTTAGAGAGAGGGGAAGGGAGGGAGGAAGAGGGAGAGAGAAACATTGATGCGAGATAAACATCGATTGGTTGCCTTCTAGACGCACCCCAACTGGGGACTGAACCCATGCCCTGACTGGGAATCGAACCAGTGACCTTTCAGTTTGTGGGACGACGCCAAACCAGCCAAGCCACACCGGTCTGGGCAGACCTCCTTTGCTTTATCCATTCACCAGTTTGTGGGCATTGGGTGTGTTTCTACCTTTTGAGTATTATAAATACTGCCATGCACATTATGTGCAAGTTTTGTATGAACACGTTTCCAGTTCTCTTGGGTAGGTAGATACCTAGGAGTGAAATAGCTTGGTCGTAAGGTGATTTGTGTTTAACTTTTTGAGGAACCACCAAAATGTTTTCCACAGTTGCCCCACCATTTTACATCCCCACAAATGTTATATGAGGGCTCCAATGTTTCCATATCCTGACCCACACTTATTTTTTTATTATAGCCATCCCAGTAGGTATGCAGTGGTATCCCAGCTTTCTGTTTTTGAATTTGAAAATATTACCGTCATTTACATATTAAAGGCTTTTACTATCCATAGCAGGATTTGAACCCAGGTCTGTGAGGCCCTAAGGCCTATACTTATCCCCAGCCCTCTCTCCTCATGGGAGGTCAGCTTCAGATCCCGGTCAAGTGTGAAGGCAAAGGGCAGGGAGCTGAAGGGCCAGCACCTTCTTGCCTGCTGGCTCACCCTTAGCACTTTGGTGGCCTGTCCCCAGCATGCCTGGAGGGGGAGGACAAAAAGATACATTTTCCTTAGAGCTTCACCCAGGGAAGCAGCATCTCACCGTGGACCTCAGCTGAGGTGAGAGTCACCTTGGAACGGGGACATGGTTGTCCTGGGTCCCCTGGAACTGCTCCCTACCTGGCCTGCAATAGGCACCGGCCCAAGGTCTTTGGGGCCACCATGTCGGGGTGGAGACGGCTCCAGTTGCCCAGGGGTCCAGACCAGCAGGCTACAGGGCTAGAAACAGGGTTGGGCTCTGAGAGCTCTGCTTCCCCCATCTGTGGGTTCCAAGTGAGGAGATGCATTTGAGGAATTACAAAAAAATGTTTGGATTGCAAACTCAAACTCAACATGGTGTTATTCTGCTTTATCTTTTTATTAACAATCATTTGTTTTGCTTACTCTGTGCCCAACACTGTTTTAAATGCTTTATAAATACGGGATGGACAAAAGCCCACCTGTGAGCCACAGTGGAGAACCACATTTTTTTGAGTTATAAAGCTATTGTAATAATCATAAACCTGCATGTCTTTTTCCAAACAAACAACTGTGAACCTACTTTTGCCCACCACTGTACATTTACTTAAATCTCACATGAGTAGGTTATTTCCATTCTCAGATAAGAAAAGTAAGGTACAAAAAAAGAAAAAAGAAAGAAAAGGAAAGATAAAAGAAAAGTGAGGTACAGAGACTGCAAACCACAAAGCTGGAATTTGAACTCAGTCTGGCTCCAAACTCCGAACAATTATACTTAGACAAGATCTAAACGGGGCTGTCCAACCTGCAGTCCGCGGGCCGCATGCAGCCCAGGACAGCTATGATTGTGGCCCAACACAAAATCGTAAATTTACTTAAAACATGAGATTTTTGTGTGTGATTATACGTTGCAATGTATTGAATGTGTGGCCCAAGACAACTCTTCTTCCAGTGTGCCTCAGAGACGCCAAAAAGTTGGACACCACTGAAAGTTTTCAAAGACTTCAGTTGGTTAGAGCACCATCCCGACAGCCAAGGTTGTGGCCTCCGCCCCCCAGTCAGGGCACATACAAGAAGCAACCAATGCATGCATAAGTTAAGTGGAACAAATTGATGTTTCTCTCCCTTTCTCTCTAAAATCAATCAATTATATGTATTTTTAAAAAAAAATTT